AGGGTTTTGGCTTATGATTTTGATTAATCCCTAAATTCCAGCGATTTGTAAGAAAGCAATCAAGCAGTCTTCACGTATTTCAGCATTTTTTTTAATCCAGTTTTCTTTTGTGTTTTGAGAATGCCCTCTTCGTGTTTCTCACTTGTCTGAAAAGTTTAATTGCTTTACGCCATCTATGAACGATTTTATTTTTCCTTCAATTTGAAACACAGAAAAGTTCTATTTTGTAGTTTCATTTTATTACTTTGAACGAATGGCATCGTTGTATTGATATGGCAACATGTTCATTTACTATCGAATTAATTTCATGTATAAAACCTAGGGGATTTTCCGATTTTAATGATGGCCCCTTCACAGTGCGTGAAGATTTCAGTGCCCTTGTAAGATTTTGTTTTTAGGATGAAGCTGGTGAACTATGCTCAATGCCATATCGAGCTCCAGAACTTTTTGTTTGCGAAGTTGGTTCAAAAATTGATCAGTCTGTAGATATCTGGGTTAGTCCGATTGTTTTTCTTTTCTAAAAAGTTAAAAAATCTTGTTTTTATTACGAAATGTCTACAGAAAGAAAAAATTTTTTAATTTTTCATGCTGTTTTTTTCAGTCTCTTGGCTGCCTTCTCTTTGCCTTATGTTTTTTTCGCTCACCATTCGATGATATCTATGAACGCGGCGACAGTATTGCTCTTGCTGTGCAGTCAGGGAAAATTGTGTATAATGAGAATCACCCGTAAGTTAGTCAGCTTTTTGAACTGGAAAATGCTTCTGCATAAGAAATGCTCATATTTTAGTGCCTGTATAAAGGTATCATCACTCGATAATGAAGCAAAACAGTACTACACCAACAGTAAACTCCTGTTGGCAGGGCTTGCGCCGATTCCCTTCCTCGAGAATTTTTTGAGGGGAAAGCTAAAAGTGGCTACATTCTTTGATGCATATTGAATAATTAAAAGAACTGAGGTTTTTAACTTCTTCTTAGTAACCGTACAGATAATGTTTCAGGTACAGTCAAAAAATTTTGAATGCAATTCGTGCAATGATAGCTGTGGATCCGCGAGATCGTCCTAACATTGCTGCGATATGTGAAATGTTGGAGAATTCTTAACAGTATCTCGTGGTGCGGATGTTTTGCACCGCGTTGTAGAATGCTTGGGTTAATTCTCACCTGGATAAAAACGAACGTTGTCCAGGCCACATGGTCAAAGCTTCGGCAATTCCATGTGGTGATGCTGCCACCTCCACGTGGTGGGGACCGGTAACTTCATACTGTTGTATTAGGGTCTCGGGCGACGGGGGTTGTTGCTTGTTAATCCTCACCTGGATAAAACGGACGTTGTCCAGGCAACGTGGTCAAAGCTTCGACAATTCGATGTGGTGATGCTGCCATCTCAACGTGGTAGGAGCCGATAACTTCGTAGTGTTGATCAAGGTCTCGGGCAACGGGGCCCGTAGGCCGTCTTGAGATCATTACGCACACTCAAGTTGGCCAGCATGTTACTGAAGGTCCAGTTCCGTAGTAGAGAGGGGCTACGAGAGCTGTATCCGTACACGTGCATCGTTACGGTTGACGCAACATAACTTATTCCACAGGTCTCCGTGGAAAATATATAAAAGAATACGGCCTGTGGCCAAAACAGAACAGCCTGACACATATGAGATACATATTACCAAGGCAGCAATACGATGGCCAACGGCGGCAAACGTCCACTGAGTTGTTAGGGCATTTCAGTCAGCCGACCAGGCTACACCCAGTGAGTCGGTCCCGGTCCGGTGGGTGCTGGTGACCCCACGGCAAAAATCTCTATCAGGATTCGAGGCACCTAGGCGGATGGACACAGCCGCAGGTAGGCGTTTGGCCTCTTTATCCGATCTTTGTGCCACCCGTCTTTATTATGTTTGAAAATAAAGAGTTAGATATTTGGATATCTAACTTTTTGTTTTGGCATATTTTTTTCAGACAATTTGGGTAATTTTTATTTCCCGACGTTTTTGAGGTTTTTAACGAATAAAGTTGATAATGACATTAACGAAGCTGTCCTTTGCAAGAGTTGTCAGCTGCGTAACTGGAAAATGGCTGTACGAATTGCACCTAGTCTAAATAACTTGCCTATTTTCTGGCGTGGGAACTGTGTTTGCTTTGTATTTCTCATCAAACGGATTACTTGCTGTGCATTATCATTATATGTGTTACATATCAGTAAGCAGAAAAAAAGAAAACAAATTTCTTTCGCCTGTGCTTACACATAATTCTGTAATTTTTTGCATTATTCGTGAATTCATCTCAGTTTTGTGTCTGTTACGAAATCAGTTTTCGTTCCAGCATCTCTGCATTGTAGTTATTTTAATCTGTGTGCAATAACTGTTACTAAAAATTGTTGATATGCACACATTTATTTCAGGACGGAGCAAAATTTTAACTGCACTTTTAATGCTTTTCTTATGCTAAATCGATTAAAAGAACACTGCAGCGAACTGATATGTGTATTAGTTCATTTGTCACCACATCAGCTTAAAACACAAACGTTTTAACTGTTGCCTAAGCTCTTGATGCGAAACACTTTTTATTCGTATGCGAACATCGAAATAAATTTACTTCGCAAGGTAAAAAAATTTTTTAAGCGAAAAAATATTAGTACACAACAATCAGAAGAAGGCATTTCGTAGAGCAATATTTTAATAAAATACATTGAAATATGTAAAGATGAAGAACCTGACCTTAAAAATCGATCCAGTTCTACAAAATCGATCTAATT